CTCCTTCGTGGGAAAGTGACATCCTCATGCAGAGACGGGAGGAGCCTTGGTCCCTCTCTTTGGAAGGCTCCTGCCATAACACCTGCGAGCAGGATGAGGGTGGGATACGGCTGTGCCATTTTGAAGCAGGCTGTCAAAATGGCCAGAGCTCGATAAAGACATGCTCCAATCCACTCGTAATCAGATAAATGCAAGTTCAACCAAGATGCAACAACACACCAACCCGACCGACGGAAACTAGACAAGCGGACACGAAGTGATGATGGAACAGGAGAAGACGGACACCCTCTCGTGCTGCTGGGGTGACTGTTACTTCCGACGGTCAGCCTGGCAAGCAATGTGGCAGTAATTAGGGGAATTCGTTACCTGCATTCCCTGTGGCCCACTTTTCCCACTTCTGGGTTCATATCCCAGCAAAATTGTCCCATGGTCCCTCCAGAGACGATGTAGGAGGATATTCGGGCCACTGCTGTTGGAGGTACCCAGGAGCTGGAGGCCAGCTAGGTGACCTTCATGCGGGGGGGGGGCGGGGAGTGATGGCATTTAAGTGAAACATGGGGAAGCTCACTATGGAAAACACAGCAACACACAGAAGTGATGAACAACAGGTACACGGAAGGTTTGGATACACACATACATATTCTGGCACATAGATCAAGAACTTACAGAGTCAAGTGGGCAGAGGGATGGAAGCAGTGATGGCAGATGAAAAACAAGATGAATAAAAGCCACTGAACGAGGGGTTCAGTGAGCCTCTTTGGACCCCTGGCTCTACCCGTACGTAACATGCTGTGTCACCTTAGGCAGGTCCTTTATGTCTTGGACTTTGGAGAGATAAGGGTGCATAGAGTCAGGGTCCCGGTCTCAGAAGGCAATAGTAAGCACACAGACTAGTTATTTGAGGACAGCTTAGTAATGGGTCTAGTTCCAAGGTGTGGGCAGATGGTAAGGGAAACCACGAGGGAAAATGCGAGTCCTCGGTGGAGGGAGGGAGGAGCACCTCCCAGCCGAGGCTCTGAGGGACAGAGGCCCAAGTGGGGCTGGCACCTTTATTCCTTACAAGACAGCCCCTGATGACTCTGAAAGGGGAAAGCTGCCCTGGATCTTTCTCTACATCCTCCCTCAGCTCTCCTGCCGGCATTCTCCATGACCAAACCCAACCTTATCGGCCAGGGTTCTCCAGAGAAACAGAACCAACAGGATGGAATATATTCAGGCAAGAGTCCAAAGGCAATCTGCCGGCAGAATTCCCTCTTGCTCAGGGAAAGTCAGTCTTTTGTTCTATTCGGACCTTCAACTGATTGGATGAGGCCCACCACATTATGAGGCAGCAATCTGATTCATTTAAACTCCATTAATCTAAATGTAAATCTCATCCAAAAACACCCTCACAGAAACATCCAGAATAATGTTTGACCAAATAGCTGGAGGCTGCGGCCCAGCCATGTTGACACAGAAAGCTAACCATCGCACCCACAGAAGCCAGAATGTAGGAGAGTTCTTCGAGGCTGCCCATCCAGGTCTAACCCCAGGGCTCAGGGCAGGGAGGAGAAGAGTGGAGACAGGGTCTGGAGGGGCAAACTGAGAAAACATAGCAGGGAAGGTTTAAACTAAATCGGAGCTTGTAATCTAGTGGTCCCCAGGTCTGCATCCATCTCACAATCGGGTGTTTTGGGACACCTTTCATGAGTTTTAAACTATTAATTGATTGCTAATATTCTTAAATTCGGAAAATTTCACATTAAAACCCTGATTTGTGCTTCTCTTGGAAAAGAAAAAACCAGAAGTTCTGGCAACATGGGGCCCTATCGTTACCTGGCAACAATTGTTTGGAGTTGAGTAGTGGTGAAGGGAAAACTCAAACTGATAGGTGAACTCTCTTGTTTGCCACAGTCCCCACCCTTCCTTAATGCCTTACACTGACTCTCTTCATTTTAAAAACACCAGATTTTTAAAACTGAGTACAAAAAATAAAGATAAAATATCCCCTTAGTAAATTTTATATTGATTACATTTTGAGAAGATAATGTTTGGGATATATTAGGTTGAATAAAACTTTTATTAAAAGTTGAATAAAAATTTTATTAAAATAAATTTCACTTTTTTATGTGGCTACTAGAAAATTTTTAATTATATACATGGCTCGCATTCTGTTTCTATTGGGTAGCATCGTCTATTTGGTAAGATTTTAGCCACCTCTCCATATTCTCAGGCTGAGTGGATGGTGGCAATATTCTATGCCCATGGGCTATAAAATTCAATGACTCCAAAATTCTTTGGACCTCTGATGCTGATTCTAGATCTGAAGGCTTACCACTTCCTCTTCCTGTACTGTCTTATGGTTCTGAATCCTCCACCCAGAAAGTCCCCTCAAAAAGCTAATTCTATTTTGGATGATTCAGAAGACCTTTCCGGATGTTGTGGGATTTGGAGCCAGGCCAGCTTTATGTAGGCAGAAGTGACTGCCTACATGTGCTGAGAAAAGCCAAAAATATCTTCTGCCCTTTCCTTCCCTATACCACCAAACTCCCAAATCCTACACATTCACCAGAGGTCTTCAGGAAATGACCAACATGGTCCTTTAACCAGTCTTGGGGCCAGTGCAGAAATTAGGCAAAGCCTGGTTGGTGCCTGCCAGGCCCGCTCCCCTCTGACCGGCACAATGCTCTAAAGTTCCCTGTGTGATGGGGGGCCCCGCCAGGGATCTGGCCCAGTGGGCATCACAGAAGCCTGTATAATCAGGTCTAAACAGCCTGGGGCTCACTTAGGCAGAGCTGTCAGCCCAGGTGGGAGAGGGCAGGAGCATGTATCTATTTACTGGATGCTCTACATAAATTATTCCACTGAATGCTCAAGCAATCCTAAGGAGGAGATATTAGTAGTCTCATGATAGCAAAGCCCACACAAGTTCAGAGAAGGACAGTGTCTTGTCCGTAAGTGGCAAAGCTGGCTTTCACGTGCGGATCTTCGACCCCCGGCCCAGAGCCCCCACGGTGCAGAGGGACAGCTAGGCAGCTCCCGCACCAGCCCTACTGAGGCTTCCTGCAGAGGCTGGAAGTCGGCGGCCCTCGTGCTGGCTTTGGCCCACAGACTTGGTAAGATTGGCTGGCCCAGAGGTCTTTTTTATTTTTTTTTTTTTAATGCTGGCTTTAAAAACTTGGAGACTTTTACATAAAAAAGGGAACGACTGGCATCTTTGGAAAAATTGGAAAATCTGGTAATGTTGGACCTCTTTTCAAGGGACTTCAACCCTCAACTGGAGCAGGGCCGAAGCTGTCCTTTCCAAGAAGGTCTACATGCGGCAGTTCATGCTGTTTCCATCCCGGTCTGCTCTGCTCCTTGCCTTAGCTGGCCGGTCTCTGCAGGCGCCCGGCTTTCCTGCTCCGCATCTACTCTGGGCTCAGTTCTGCGCAGACTCTCTGTGCCTGGCCTGGCTTCCTGGAGGGGCCTGAGATCTGGGAAGGGTGTCAGGTCCTCTGAGGGCCACAAGTGTCTCATTCGATTGTGTGACCATGAGAATGCCACTTCCCCTATCTGAGCCACAGAACACCCTCCTTCAGGCCTGAGCAAGTGACCCAGGCAACATGTCCTTATAACGGAAAAGGATGGAGAGTCTGGAATACCACCTAGATGTGCCCTTCCTCACTGGCCCCTCCATCCCGCAGGGTGGAGGCCTGGGGGCACAGCAGAGGGCTCCTGGAGGAGGCAGCCTACTGGCAGAGATAGAGCACAGAGAGGTGGGGGCGGGGGGGTGTCTGCTTCCAGATAGGGACTGGCTTTCCAATCAGCCTGGAAGTGTACCTGCCAGGCACATACTGCAATACTGCAGCAGGGTGTGCACACAGGGACCTCACACTTATTAAGTGCCTACTGTTTGCAGTGCCAGATGCATCTGAAGGTAACACAAGGCTTGTGAACCCTTCCCTCCACACCAGTAGAGCCCAGTGGCTGACCAGTCGACTCTGGAGCAGGACTGTTGGCTATAAGTCATGGCTCTACCTCTTACTAGCTGAGTGGCTTGGTCAAGGGACTTAATTCTCCGGGTCTCAGTTTTCTGAACTGAAGAATGGAAATAACAGTACCTACCACAAAGGGTTGTTGGAAATAAGCATCCAGGGAATTGAGAAGTGTGGGGCACCTGGGTGGCTCAGTCGGTTAAGCCACTGCCTTTGGCCCAGGTCATGATCCCAGGGTCCTGGGATCGAGTCCCGCGTCGGGCTCCTACTTCTCCCACTCCTCCCCACTCCTGCCCTCTCTCTCAAATAAATAAATAAATAAATAAATAAATAAATAAATAAAATCTTAAAAAAAAGAACAAGAAGTGTGTCTGATACTTAGCAAGCGCTCAGTTAAATGTTAACTGTTACTATCATTTCTCTCTTTTAAAAGGAGGAAACTGATGGGGTCACCTGCTCAAGGTCACACAGGTAGGGAGGGACAGAGCTAAAGACAGAAAGCCAGCTAGAGAGGGGACTGGAGCCACTACACTTGAAAGAGAGTCTCAGCGGAGGTCCAGCTGTTTCCTGTGGGTTCCCACCGCTCAGAGCTGGGGATCAGGCTCCTCTAGGGGCCCACAACTGTGGAGGGGGAGGGCAAGGGGAAGCCAAGCAGAGTTCTAGTCCTGGCACTACCACTAATGAGCGGTATGGCTTTTCTGAATCTCAGTTTCTTCCTCTGTGAAATGGGAGCAGTTCTACCTTCCTGCTCTCCGGATCACAGATAACTGCTTGGAAAACGCTCTTTCCTCCAACACCTTGCACCAACTTGCACCCACCCCTGCTTGCGGGAGGAGGATGAGGCAGCTTGCCCAGCCCCCTGGGAGGTGGGCCCAGGCGGGGGCGGGACAAAGCCAGCAGGAGGGCTTAGTTAAGAGCCAGAAAGCAGAAGCAAGAGGGTTTTTCCCAAGCTCTAGAGAATACAGTTCTCCCCATTTCCTGCCCACCTGCCAGCACTGCCTCAGCCTGCCTGCCCTGCTCCAGACCCACGGCTATTCGGGAAGCATGAGGGCTCCATGCGGGACCTCCGAGCACCGCGCCAGGACCCGGTAGGTCTGGAGACCCTGGACACTGGGACCACAGGCAAGAAAACGCTCAGTGGTCGGGCATGATGAGTATGAGCTTAGCCTCAGGCTCTGCCATTCCCTAGCTGCGTGACCTTGGGTAAACTCCACCTCTTTGAGCCTCAGTTTCCCCATCTGTGAGGGAGAGTAGTAATAATGTCTACAAGATAGCTGTAAGAATTGAGGGGCGCCTGGGTGGCTCAGTCGTTAGGCGTCTGCCTTCGGCTCAGGTCATGATCCCGGGGTCCTGGGATCGAGCCCCGCATCGGGCTCCCCCCCCCCACTCCCCCTGCTTGTGCTCTCTATCTCTCTCTAACAAATAAATAAAATCTTAAAAAAAAATTAAAAAAGAATTGAATGAGAAAATGCACACACAGGGCTTGCCATCGTGCTCGGCTTGGAGTAAGCCCTCAGCAGATGGCAGCCGCTTTCCATGTCATTCCGGACACTCCCCCACGCCTTGGCCTCCAGCATGACTTAGAGCTGTTTTCCCTTCCCCTGTCATTTGTATTATTCGCTATTCTTTTAACGGCTACCATGTCCCGAATACTCATTATTACAATAGCAGGAGGTTTAGTCCTAAATGAAAATGCCCTCAGGGGCCAGAAAGGCCCTAATTCATCATCTCTGACACAAGTGGGTCCTTGGGGCTGCCCAGCTTGGATAGCATTGCCCTGGTTCATTAACTCTCCCAACCTCCTGCCCAGCTATTTTCCACCCTCTCTTTCCTCTTCAAGCTCCCACTGCCTCCTCCAGCATGTTCTCCATCGATGCTGACCTCGCTTTCCTGCCACCCTGAGCAAACAGAAGCAATCCTAGGACAGCCTACAAATATTTAGGGAGCTACATGCCAGACACTATTCCAGGCACTTGAGCTACATCAGTGAGCACAAGAGACCAAGTCCCTCCCCTGGTGGTATTGATGCTCTCGTGACACATAACAGGTGACCTGCTCCTTACTCTGTCCCAGACACAGAGAGACCCTACGAGATGCTACTTCTATTCCCCCACGTCACAGACATGAATTACATGTCTTACAGAAATAAGAAAACGGAGGCACAGAGAGATTAAGAAACTTGACCGAGGTCACACAGATGGTGAGTGGTGAAGCGGGGATTTGAATCCAGGCAGTCTGCAGGCCATGCCCTTAACCACCTCTCTGTTGTGCATCAGAGGAACTGAGATTTGGCGCCCACACTTTGCCCGTCACCCGCCCCTCCTTTTGTACTGTCCATCTTACCTGCTGCCACCACCACCGAAAAGATCGCCCCAGGGGGCCTCCCCTTCATCCAAGCCCCCCTCTTGATTGGCTCTCCCATCTGCAAACCTGTTAGAGTCTCTCCCATCTTGGTCCCCGCCCCCGCTCCTGCCCAGCGGCCGCGGCACCCTGTCTGTGCACTTTTACTGCAAACATGATTCAGCACGCTCCTGTCTCACGTTCTACTCCTTCCAGTCTCTCCCAGGCCCCCTCTGGTTAGGTTTTGGCCCAAGATGCCACGAAGCTCCCCTTTGGCAGTTACCAGGCCAACGGTCATTGCTCGGTCCTCAGCCTTGTTGACCCATCAGCGGCCCTTGACATATGTGGCGACCCCCCGTCTTGGAACATTGTACTGGCCGCTCCCCCAGCCTCCTTCTCACCTCCCAGCCTGGGGCGAGGGCTCTGTCCTCGAGGGTCTCTCCTCCCCACCAGCACACCGTCCCGAGGAGTCACCACCTGTCCTGCCCCATGGCTTCAAATGTCATCTATAAATCAATGATTTTACGTGTCATTTATTTCCCATCTCGGACGACACCTGGGTGCTTTCAGTTGCTCAGGCCGCAAACCTCAAGGTCATCCTTGACCTCCCTTTTCCTCTCAGACTGCCTGTTGTGTTGGCTCCTCCAGCAGAATGTATCCAGAACCCAACCTCTTCTCACAAATTCCTCTGCCATCACTTTTCAACACAGGCTCTAGGAGGGCAGGGGTTCTTGTCTGTGTCATTCATTCCTGTTTCTCTAATAGTGAGCATATAGTAGTTGCTTAATAAATATAAGGACAACAGAGTAGAAAAGCTCCCGAGTGGTCAACCTATCCACTCCCCATGCCTCCAAATCTTAGAGGAGACCCTGAGGTCCACAGAGAAGGAATGTCCAGAATGACACAGGAAGCCAACCAAGACTGAATTCGGGGGAAACAGTGTCTCTCTCTCTCTTTCTCCCAGAGTTTGTCTCTTTCTTATTCTCTCTCATCTGTGCTTCTCTCTTCATGACTCGTTCATTCCCTGGGGCAAGGCACCCTCCCAAACCTGGAATTACGGACGCAGGCAGCCCAGACATCCATCCTCACATCCCCAGGAACTGGGCTCTTCCCTGACAAGTCCAGTGAGGATAATCCTAGGGCAGCCTCTGACTAGTTCTGCTTGGGTCCTGTGGCTTTGGGGTGAGTTACTGGGATGGGCCTACAGGGGAAGAGTGCCAACTCCTGTGGCTCAGGGGGTGGAGCCTGTTGGCGATTGAAGGGTTTGTGGATCAGGGGCATTGGGCCAACATCCAAACCTTCATCCTCCTGAAAAAGCCCCCCCCCATTTTCTTGTGTGCAGGTGGAGGTTCTGGCACTTGGGGCTCTGCAAGGCCCTCGGGCCCCTGCAGGCCGCCTGGGTCGCTTTCTCTCAGCCGGTCCCAACCAGCTGTGGCCAGCTGCTGACCCAGCTCTTCCTGTGCGGTTGCTTGGCGGTCGCTGCTGCAGGTCTGACACACCACTGGCTCGCGTCCTCGCTGCTTTATCCTCTGGGACCCTCGGCCACAGTGGCCACTGTCTGGGGCCTCCTGGTCTTCCTGGTCCTGGGCTTGGTGCCCCCTGCCCGCTGCCTGTTTGCACTCAGCGCCCCTACCCTGGGCACGGAGCAGGGCCGCTGCCTGCTCCTCTCCTGGAGCACTGCCACCCTGGGCGTCACCGTGCTGCCCAACGTCTTGGCCAACATGGGCGCAGCGGGGCAGGTGCTGAGATGTGTCACAGAGGGCTCCCTGGAGAGTCTGCTCAACACCACTCACTGGCTGCATGCGGCGTCCCGGGCTCTGGGCGCTGCTGGCCCAGCGGGCAGCCAGGGCTTGACACTGCAGGCCCAGGGCAATGGCTCTGTGTTCCAGCTTCACATGCTCAGGGTCACCCAGCAGGTGCTGGAGGACTTCTCTGGCCTGGAGTCCCTGGCCCGGGCAGCCGTGCTAGGGACCCAGCAGGTGGTCGCAGGGCTCTTTATGCTGGGCCTCCTGGTGGACTCGGGCTGGTACCTCCATCGCTACCTGACTGACCTGCAGTTTGACAATATCTACGTGACCCGGCAGCTGGCTTGGCAGCTGGCGGAGACCCAGGCCACACATCTGGTGGCCTTCCCACCGGCCTGGCTGCTCTGGGCCGCCCGGCCGAGGCTGTCCCAGGGGGAGCTGCTGAGTTGCCTCCTGAGGCTGGGGCTGCTCACCCTGTCCCTGATGACCACAGCTGTGATGGTGGCCACAGACCACGTGGCCTTTCTGCTGGCTCAGGCGGCCGTGGACTGGGCTCAGAAGCTGCCGGCGGTGCCAATCACGCTCACGGTCAAGTATGATGTAAGTGCGGTGACGGGACTAGAGTCATTTCCTTGTAGGAAGGGGTGGGGTGTGTTAACCACTTCATTTGCAATTGAATTTTATTTGCTTCAAGACCCTGCCCTTGGAGAAGCTAGGAGACCCTGGGGCATTTGCAGACAGACTCGCTTGATTGATTCCCAGCACAGCCCAATGTAGTGGGTTCTATTCTCACCCCTGTGGCAGATGAGGATCCAGTTACCCAACAACTTGAAAATAATTTGACACCCCCCCCCCAGGTCACTCTTTTCCTAAGTGGCAAGGTGTCCTAGCTTCATTTTCTTCACTTGTACAAACTGGATCCATCCTCCTCACCCTGCCGGGTTATTGTGAGTCTTAACATGTGGTCCTCTGTAAAAGTATGCAGGGAGCTCCACGCCACACAGGAGAGGTCCAATCAGTGGTGGCTATCATGAACAGCTCACAGCTGTGTGTATCAGACTGAAGGAGGGCTTACGAATGATCTAGATCAGGAGTCTGCCAACTATGTTCCCCGGGGCCAAACCCTTCGGGCTTCCTGGTTTTGTAAATTAAGTTTTATTAGAACATAGCCGTGTCATTTGTTTAGGTATTGGCCCCTGGCTGCTCTTGATAGTTGCATGAGGGACAGTGTGATCTATGAAGTGAAACGTATTCTTCAACTTAAAAGTTCGTTTTTATTCTGATTTTAAAAGAGAATAAAATACTTCTGTGAGCCCCCTGCCCTGACCCTGGCGGAGAAGTGGGCCCTGGGCAGAACCAAGGATTCAACCCAAGAAGTCTGCCTCCAAAGTTTGAATTGTTAACCTCTGACCTCCCTGCCTCCCTACACCTGCTCCTATATACCCCAAGGGAATTGTAGAGCCTAATTCTTAGGAGCAGGATGTTGGGACCCGCCTTGGCTGGGACTGACCCCCGGGGCTGGCCACATCATTGTGTGACCTTAGGCTTCCCATCTTTTCAGTGAGGCTCATTCTGGGCTCAACCTCAAAGGATCGTGTGCATTTGATGGAAAAGACATCTAAAGTATTCACTAAGGGCTTAGCAAAGAGTAAATGCCCGTAGCACCCGTTTGTTTTCTCTAACGCGTTCTGTTCCGAACGTAATAGTACGGTGCTTTTTGTTTGTCAGAAAGCCTGCTTCAGACTCCTGATGTCATTTGCTACTCCTCGGTGCCCAGGAGGCAGGAGGCTGGGTTACTTCCGCGCCCATCTTACAGAGAGGGGCAAGCGGCCGCGAGTGCTGGGGGGGCGGGGAATGGCTGCAGCGTCTGTCTGTTCACTTGGCCTTTTTCCCCTCTTTGAAGGCCACATACACGGTCCTGGGCTTCATCCCCTTCCTCTTCAACCAGCCGCCTCCGGAGAGCCCTTTCCTCTCTGCTCACAAGTCCTTCCAGTGGGAGCTCCGCTTCACCGCCCCGGGCTGCCCACTGCTGCCCGCCCGGCGCCCCCACACGGCCGCGCCCCTGGCCGCTGGGGCCCTGCAGCTGGCGGCTGGCGCCACCATCCTGCTGGAAACCTACGCCCGGCGCCTGCGGCACACCATCGCCGCCTCCTTCTTCTCCGCCCAGGAGGCTAGGAGGGTCCGCCACCTGCACGCCAGGCTCCAGCGCAGATACGGCAGGCACGGAGGCCGGCGGCTGCCCCTGGAGCCCCCATCCTGCTCCCGAGACCCGGGTCTGTCAGCACCCACCCAGCGCGGATAGACTGGCCTCCGGCATGCTGGTCACTGGGAAGAACAGAGAGCAGTAGGGCGGAGGGGGAAGAGCTTGGGAGCCGCACACACCATGGTCCTCCTGCTGCCTTGCTGTGTGACCTTGGGTAGATTGCTTCACCTCTCTGAGCCTCAGTTTCTACACCTGAATAATGACTGCGTCATAACAACCCATGTGACCTCCTTTGCACGTGGGGGTGTGGAAAGGAAGGCATGCCGATATTGGGCATAAGAGGCTTCCAGAAGCAGGAAAGGCCTCAGCACAGTGAAGACAAGCAAGTACAGAGACAACTGGAGGTTCCTCCTGGCCAGTTGGGGGTCAGCCCGGGCTCTCATCTGCATCCACTGCTTTCCCTGGTGGATGGAAACTTCACGTGGTGAATGTGTCTAAATGCTCCCGGAACTTATAAAATATGTCCCCTGAATCCTCTTACGTTTAGCCATCTAAAATTTTCTTGATTTTATAAGCGAAGTATTTATTAAATCCTAAATTAGATTATGTCACTCTTTTGTTTCAAAGTCCTCTGGGGATTTCCCATCCAGGGTCACCAGGGTTTAGCAAATAAAAATACACGACACCCGGTTCCGTTTGAATTTCAGATAGATAACAAACACGGGTTTAGTCTAAGTACGTCCTTGGGACATTCTTATACTAAACATACTTACCCTAAACCTATATTTGTTGCTTATCTGAAATTCAAATGGAACTGAGTAATCCATATTTTATCTGGCGACTGCATCCCCATCGAAGTTCTAGTAAAACCCCAGCTCTCTCCCCTGTGGGCTTGGTATTCCCTGTTGTCCCCTCCAGATCATTCTCTGCCCTTCTCTTTCCCAGGAATTCGTACCTCTGTGAATTTTATCACCCTGGTTCCCCTGGCCTCTGACTTCTAGTCGGGCTCAGCCAATGGGAGGCACTGGCAGGCGAGCCAAAGTGGGAGAGGAGAGACATGTCAGGATATTTGTTCCTGCAGCCCTCTGGGCTACTTGGCAGAGGCCACATTCCATTACCAGCAGCCACAGCACCTGTCTGGCTGGGTGGTCCCCTCATGGTGGCTGTAGATGTCCCTGGGTTCTAGAACAGTACAGCTTCCAAGGGTGCTAGTTTCTGAGAGCCTCACCATCCTTCCCTTTACCAAGTCCCCATCTCTGTACCTTCATTAAACTCTCGTTTCCCCTTTAAGACTACCATCTCTTTCCTGCCAGGACCCTGACTGATGATGTGCCCTGGGTCGCAAAGCCCTGCTCAAGCCAACCTCTCCCTCCCTCACTATGCCCAGGCTGCATGGGCTTAACCTGCTCAGATGCACCAGGCTGGTTTGCACCTTGGGGCAATGCTCTTGCTGTTCCCACATCCTGGAACACACTTCCTTCAAGTCTTGGCATGGAGAGCTTCTTTGCATCCCTTAGGGATTAGCTCAAATGTTACCTCCTCAGAGAAGCCTTCTCTGACCTCCCTACCTCATATTGTCCCATCCCAGCCAGTTTCACTCCATCTCAGGAGTGGACAAGCTTCAATCTGTGAGCCAAATCTGGCCTGCTGCCTGGTTTTATGAGCAGAATTTTACTGGAACATTGTCATGCCCGTTAAAGTATTGTCTCTGATGGCAGATTTGAGTAGTTGAAACAAGGGACTGCGTGGCCCACAAAAATCTGAAATATTTACTATCTGGCTCTTTAACTAAAATGTTTGCTGACCCCTGATCTATCATATCAAGTTGTTATCTAGCCTCTGTAAATACACTTAGCAATATCCTTTATTAGCTTACGTATGCATTTATAGATTTAGCTGTCTCTTTGTTACTTGCTGTGTGTTTCGTGTGGTCCCCGCAAGAATGTAAACTCCCTACTAAGTGTCTGGTCCTCTACAGGTATCTCCAGTACCTGAAACAGTGCCGGGTACAGAGTAAGCACTCAGTAAAAATCTGTTCAATGACCGGGTCTCTGGAGGGTAGGACTGTGCACTCTCTGTTCTCGGCTCCTTCCTGAAGATTTGGGGCTTGCAGAAGAGAATGGGTAGGTACTGGGAGCAGCCTGCTTTGGGCCAGACTGGTAGCCAAAGGGAAAGCCACAAAGCAGGAAGAGGTATATTCCCAGGCCAAGTGTTTCAACTTAAGCAGCCACTGCGTGTGAGTCACCAGCTGCGTGGAGTGGACCCACACTCCCGCTGCCTCACCACCTGCTCCCCAAAGGTGTTTGTGCTCATCCCCGAGGGCCATCACCGGCCTCACCCAACACCCAGTCCCACCCCAGCTCCCTTTCCCACAGAGCTGCCTTGTGGCTTGTTTAGGCAGTGACTCACCCACACATTTTCTTAAATTGCACAAGTAACACGTGAATCCTTGTCCTTACGAAAATTAGAGCAGAGAAGATAATAACAGCTAGTGTTTGTTGGGTGCCTGTGATGTGCTGGGAGTGTCCTGGGAGTGGGGCAGAGAGGCCCACGATTTGCTCTCCGGAGCTGGTGTGGGCTGGCTCTAGAACACCGTTAGATGTGCCCCAAACTCTCTGAAAGCTTTATGCACATCATCTTATTTAAACCTCACAAAAGGGGGCACCTGGGTGTGGCAGTCGGTTAAGCGCCTGACTCTTGGTTTCAGCTCAGGTGGTGATCTCAGGGTTCTGGGATCGAGCCCCGCAGTGGGCTCTGTGCTCCATGGGGAGTCTGCTTGAGCTTCTCTCTCTCCCTCTGCCCCTCCCCCTGCTTGCACTTTCTCTGTCTCTCTAAATAAGTAAATAAACAAGTCTTTAAAGAAAAATAAACCTCACAAAAGTATATGAGATAGATGGTATTATTCTTCTCCTTTTAGAGGTGACGAAATAGAGATTCAGAGAGGTTAAGGGTTTTGCCCAAAGTCACACAGCTAATAAGCTGCAGAGCCAGAACTTAAATCCAGGTGGTCTGGCTTCCAGAGCCTATGATCTTAACAAATAAGAGTAATATCCCCTTTGACCACCACACGTATATCTGCCTCCCTACCCCATAGACACAACCACTATTATCAGTTGGGTGGGTACCATTCGGATATTTGTCTACACATGTAAATATATGTAAATAGAACATGGAAATATATAAGGTTGTGTGTTGTTCTGAGTGGCACATTGTGGTATGTATAGTTCTGCAGCCTGTGTTTTCATTCAGCAATATGTCTCGGCCCTACCTCATTCTTTCTCATCGTTGGATGGCATTGATATGCCATGAATTGTTTAGCATTTCCCCCTCTGGTAGATGATCAGGTGGTTTCCAATTTTTGTTACTGTAAACAACGCTGCCATGGACATCCTTGGCCGTGCCTCCTTTCTGACCTCAAGGTCAGAAAGTTTCCTTGACTAGATGTAGAACTTGCCGAATTACATGGGAACTTACTTATTAACTTATTAATGAGGTTGTAGCTTTTAGGTGCATGCTAGCTGGTATGACAGACAGACACCCAAGATGGCCCCCAATGACTCCCAGTGAATCATGGCATTCATACCCTTGTGTGATTCTCCCCTTGAACTTGCTTCCAGCTAACAGAATATGGTAAAAGTGGTGGGGTCTCATTTCTGTGATCAGGTTCCCTGAGACTGCAATTCCCATCTTGCTAGCGGGCTGTCTCTCTTGCCTTCTCGGCTTGCCTGCTTCGATGAAGCAAGCTGCCATGTTGGAGAGGCCCACATAGAAGGATCTGAGGGTGACCTCTGGTGATAGCCAGCTGGAAACTGAGGCCTTCAGTCCAACAGGCCCCAACTCTGACAGCAGTGAGAAGATCCTTGGGTCTTCAGGTGAGGCTCCAGCCACCGCCCATACCTCAATTGTAACCCGTCAGAGACTCTGAAGCAGAGAAGTCAGAGGATCCATATACAGCCTCCTGACCCACAAAAACCATGAGATCAGAAATGTGTGTTGTTTTAAGCCACTTCATGTGTGGTAATTTGTTATGCAGCAATACTGCTGGGATGAAGCCAGGGCTGAGATAGGGATTTAAGTGTAGTGATGTATTTGGGAGGTGATCCCAGGAAGCACCAGTAGGGGCGTGGGGAAGCTAGAGAAGAAAGGGAAAGAAGCCGATTCAGGTGCATCAGTAAGCAGATAAGGCTGCTGCAGAACTTCTGGAAGATGGTGAAGAACACGCCTCAGGGTCTCCCCTACCCCCACTCTGAGGAAGTCTGGGTATGTCTCCTCTGCTGTCAGCTGTCACTGGCTGAGGGCTGCTCCTTCCCTTGGAGCCTCCAGCCTGCCTCCTACTTGGGCTGAGGGGGGAATGCCTTCAGGTACGGGTGCTCACGGTGGGACACCAGCAACCTTTATGGGTACCCCTAGTGCCCAGGGGATGCAAGTGGGACATACTGGAAAGAACAGACACCTGGACATCAGAAAGATCTATGTTTCCATTCTGATTCCACCACTTAGTAGCCGTGTGACATCAAACAAATCACTAAGTCTCCCTGCACTTCATTTTTCTTTTCCTTTCAAGGGGAATAACAGAACTTTCCTCACTCCATGTGAGAGACACATGGAAGAAGCGTCCAGCTCCATTTTTATACGTCCTTAGTTCTCCCCGACATTTCGTTCATGTACTCAACAAATATTTACCAAGCACGTCCTACATGACAAGCCCTGTGCTGGGCTCTGGTGGTATAGTGGTGAAAGGGACACACAAGCTCCTCATGGAGCTTACATTCTAGAAACAAGTTAATAAATAAACAAGATAATTTCACATAGAGATGGGGTGGCCAGGGGAGACCTCTCTAAGGAGATGTCATTTGAATGGAGATGACAGGATGAGCAGGAGCCAGGTGAGCAAAGAGAAAGGGAAGGAACATTCCAGGCCAGAGAAATTGTAAGTACAAAGACACTGAGGTAGGGACAAATCTGATATTTTTGAAGGACAGAAAAGAGGATGGAGAGGTTGTTAGTTTCTCTGAGGCCCAGACTCTTTTCTGGAACCCATCACCAGATTACCTGTTGGGTGCCAGGTCTAAACGGACAGAAAAAAGACTAATTCCAGTCCTGCTGACAATCCCACACTTAGCCTCAGGATCTGTTTACTCTTTGGTCTTGAGACTGAAAAACATGCAGCTGGAACCTCTGCGTGGTGGTACCTGCTCCCCGCTTCTATCTCAGGAGCCCTGTGATGCAGGCAAAGGGATCATTATTATGCCCATTTTACAGATGAGAAACCTGAGGTTCAGAGAGGACTATGGGATTTTCCTAGAGTCATAAACATTAACATTGACTTTTCTCCTACCCAAGAAAGATTCTACGACTTCAAAGAAGAGAGATGGGGAAGGGGGAGTGCTAATTTCCCTTGACCCAGGCCTTGGGGTCATGTTGTCAAAGGCCTTAAGAAACTTGGCAGTATCAGACTCCCTCTGCTGGCTGTCACAGGCCCAGCCTGGGGATAAGCGCCAAGAGAGTAAGTTTCCAGGTATGGAGAAGGCCATGTCTCCTGCTGCTCCCTCTCACTGCCCACCTGGAAATGCCAACGTGACCCTGGAAAGGAGTTCAAGTGCTGAGTTCCAATCCCCACTCTAGCGCTTGCTGGCTCCATTATGAAGGGGAAGGAAAACAAAATCAAAATATCTCTAAATTGGGAAACAGAGTCCCTGAGTTCTAATCTCTTCCATTACACTCACCTTGTTGTAGGGTGGGTGCTCTTGGTTATCTATTGCTGTGGAGCAAACCACCCCCAAACGTAGGGACCTAAAACAAAGATTTATTACTATCTCGCACCGTTCTGTGGGTTGACTGGGCTCAGCTGGGTGGTTCCTGCGTGCAGTCACTTGTATCAGTACAGGTGGAGGGGGACAGGGGCTGGGGTCCTTTGAAGGCTCCACTGGACTGGCCATCCACAGTGGCCTCTCCACTCAGTGTCTGGGGCCACAGTGCTCCTTACGTGGCCTGGACAGAGCAGCCTGAACATCTTACCAGCAACTTGGGACTCAGAGAGGTGGGAAGCAGAAGCTGCCAGGCCAGTTAGGGGTTACCCGTGCAATGGGTGAGTGTCACTTCTGCCAAAAGAGTCACAGAGCCACCCAGACTCCAGGGAGTGGAGAAATGGACCCCACCTCTTGACCAGAAGTGGCCAGGTCACATTGCAAAAGAGCACGTGGGCCACCTCCCTGGAGCACCCTCGGAAAACACAATCTGCTGCCGTGGAACACGAGGAGCCAGGTGAAGCCTTCGGCTTTCAAAGAGCAGGAGCGATTCTGATTTCATCTGGGAAGGACCTGGAGGAGGAGGCTGCATTCTCTGGATGCTACTCCAGGAAGAAGGGGAAGGAGAAATGGCAATAATCTCTACAGCATGGCAATGTTATTTTGAATCAGCCAGAGCTACATGCAGCTCTCAGCTCTCTCACTGAGGACTGGGTGACTTGGTGGCACCCCATCACCTCTTCACTCTCCATCCGAAGGAAGCTGGGGGCTGGAAGTGCTCTGTGGAGCTGCCCGCCCACAGACCCATGCCCGGTCCTCACCCTTTCCCTGTCCTGGTCATCACAGGACAGGGAAAGGGTTTCCTCCTGGTGACTGCACGGCCACCATCTGGCTGCAGAGGGTTTTGTGTACATCTGTGATGACTCCTGGGAGGTCAGTGCCAGGTCCCAGGCACTTGCGGCCAAAGTCACCCAACCTGCTTCCTCTGGAGCTGCCCCTGAGGTATTGGGAGCAGACTCCACCTGGGAGCCCTTCCCTGAGAGTGGTGTGGATGGTGCTCCCTATCTCCTCCACCCAAGGTCAGGAGGGAGATCAGGGGAGAAAGCAGCTAGAGCCCAAAATTTCAGGAGGCACTCCGTCGGGGCTGTGTGTGTTTGTGTAGGAGCTCTCTGTCTCTTTCCCTCTCTCCCTCTCCCTCCCTCTAGGACTGGTTATATAAGCATATAACCTTCCCAGAAGCCCCCCAGCAACAGCCATTCATGGCTCATTAACTGGAATTAGTCACTTGCTATTCCAGCCCAATCACGGGTAAAGCGGTTGGGATTTCGAAGGCTGGGTGAGATGTTTTCCAAACCGTGGATCAGGAACCAAATTAGCAGAGTGTAACCAGTATTTCTAAACAATGTAAAAATGTAATAGAATAGAGAAAAAACAGCATACATTGCTCATGGTAAGCATAAGCATGAGTTTGTAGACCTTGTTTCAGCTGTGTGTGTGTGTGTGTGTGTGTGTGTGTGTGTCCTGGGGTGCTATCTGAAATGTATTTTTTGTGGGTACTGGGCAAAAAGGAAAACTGGTAGCTTAAGTTAATTGTTTGGGACAGAATTAATGTTGGGCCAACGGAACGAGGGTCCCAGCAGCTCTGCTGACATGTCGCTTTCTTGGGGAGGCAATCCCAGAATTCTGTACCCCGCCCTCACCGCAGACTGCATCCGGCTCTCCAATACGCACTGCTATACCACCTCCAAAACTCTTACGGCAAGTCTAATGGTCTGTTTGTTTGCTGCCTTCCTCCCTTACTGGACCCTAAGTGTTGGGAGGCCAGGCGCCGAGTCGTTTGTGTTCACACCTGTCTCCTAACGGAAGTGACTCCCAAAGGACAGGGTCCAGCGGAGGGTTTTCCTGCACAGATGTGGTTCCAAGATGTACTTCACCCCTTGTTGTTTGTGGGATACCAAGTAGATCACTTCATCTCTTTTCATCCCTCCACCTCCGTTTATTCGTCTGTAAAATGGGAACCGTCATGCCCACTCCGCCTAATTCACAGGGCTGGCCTTTCGTTCCCAGGACCCAGATCAGTCCTTAACACAAAATCAGTTGAATGGGTTTCGCTTCCCACGTTGATAGTCTTTGCTTCCTGACAATTGCTGACAGTCATGATTCACAGGTACCCCACTGTTATCTATTGTTATGTAACAACCACCCTGAACTTAGTGACAAAAACCAACAACCCATATTATAACGCTCATGGGTTGTGTTAGGAAGTGGAACGAGATGGTGGGGATGGATGTCTTTGCTCCACAATGTCTTGGGCCTCAGCGGGCAGTGATTCAAGCACCTGGGGGCTGGAATCTGGGGGTTTTTTCACTGACATGTCTTATGGCTGAGCTGAGATATCATGTCTGAACTGTTGACCAAAGTACTTATATATGGCTGCTTTTGTGGCTTGAACTTCTTATAGCATCTGGGTACCGAGAAGGAGCATCCCCAAAGCAAGCATCCAAGAATGAGTGTGTCAGGAGAATCGAGTAGAAACTGGTGGCCTTTTAGGACCTAGTCTCAAAGTCACACAGCATTGCTTCTGCCATGCCCTATTTGTTGAAGAAGTCACAAGTCCACCTAGATCCAAGGGAAGGGACCACAGACCCCACCTCCCATGGAAACAATGACAAACAATCCGGACCATTATTAGAAACTTCCACAATGTGTCTAGGCCCACAGCAATATGTGTTGAATGAACGAATGCATGAGTAGTAAACGAATGAATGTGTGAGTGAACAAGTCAGTGGCTATCTTGTTCTTGGCCATATCCCCAGCATCCAGCATGGAGCAGGTGCTCTGTGGGTGTTCATTGAGTGACTGAGCGAGCAGAGCCTCTACTACCCCACCAGCCAGCATCACCCTCCCTCCCACCCTAGGAATCACATACCCATGACTGGGGGCATCTGGGCTGGGCACTGAGCTGAAGGAAATCGTGTACAGAGTACAAAGGACAAAGGCTCCAAGGCAGGAAGGTGCTTGCCATGTGCATTAGCTTTCCCAGACTGCTGCCACAAAGCACCACAAACCAGGGGGCTTAAAATAACAGAAGTTTATTCTCTCACAGTTTCTGGAGGCTGGAAGTGGGCAGCCTCAGTGTCCACAAGGCCATGTTCTTCTGCAGGCTCAAGGGAAGAACGTTCCCTTGCCTCTCCCCAGCTTCTTCCCTGGCCCGTAGCTGCCGCACTCCAATCTCTGCCTCTGTCTTCCTGTGGCTTCTCCTCTGTGTCTGAATCTCCCTCTCCTTTCTCTTATGAAGACATCAGACATTGGATTTAGGGCCACCCTAATCCAGGATGACCTCAACTTCACTAATGACACATGCAAAGACCCTATGTCCAAATAAGGTCACTTTCGGGGTTCTGGGTAGATGTGAACTTTGGGGGGACACTATCATCCAACCATCACACCATGTTAAACAGATAGAAGGATGGAGGGTCTACCTGAGGCATCATGAGTAAGAGGGGGAGGTGGGGAGGGGCCGCATCCTGCAGGGCATTCTGGGGCTTGTGGAAAGAGTTTGGATTCATTTCAAGTGCAAAACAATGCCATTGAAGGGTGTCAGCGGGAGAGTGGCTTACATTTTTAAGAGATCACTTGATACTGTATGAAGAATGGGCCATAGAGTGAAGAGCAAGGATGTAGCAGAGAACCTGGGAAGCGACTGCAGTTGTCCTATCAAGAGGTTCGGGATGGAGGAAAGTGCCAGTCCAGGGCATAGTGGTGAAAGGTGCATTAATTTGAGGTATGTTTTGGAGGTAGAACTGAGGGACTTCCTTAAGTATTGGATGTCAGCAGTGAGGGAGAAAGAGACGTAATTCCTGAATATTTGGTTTTAACAAACGGGTGGAGGTTTTAGCAGCCGGTGGCATTACCAAGATGCCTTTACTAAGATGAGGAAGACTAGGGATGAGGTAGGGTATGGGAAAATAAAGAATGCCACTTGAGATGTACTTAGTTCATTGCCAAGTACTGCCGTTTGTTGCTGGCAAGTGAACAGCTCAGTTAGGCAGGGGAGAGAGCTGAGTTGGCAGGCTTAGAGGGAGAGAAGCCCAAGGAGCTGCTTGCATTTAATATGGCTAAAAGGATTGCTCTGGACCACACTCAGGGAGGAGGAGGAAAGACTGGGGAGGAGGAACCTGGGCTTAACTGGCATTTGGTGCCTCGGAAAGAGCTGAGTAAGGGACGGCTGGGGTTGGGGTGGGGACAAGGAGAATGTTGGGGTTCTGCTTCCTGCTTGGCCCTGGTCTGCATGACATTAGAAATCATTCCCCTCTGGGCCTCAATTTCCTCATCTATAAAATAGGGCCAATAGTACCTGCCCAGCCAGGGCTGGGGGAAATAGAGATAATGAATATAGCATGGTGTTTGGCTCTGAGTAGGATGCTTTGCTATTGTTCTTGCTGAGGATCCCAGAGAAGGGTATAGGGCAGAGAAGTGGTATGGTATGGGGGGGCGTAAGAATGGGGACTCCGTGGCCATGTCAGGGATGTCCTGGACCCTGGCTTGTGCCCCCAAGAAACTGCCCTGCCAAGTTCCCCAACATTTATTTTTTGTCCATTTATCAGATCTGTAGACTGAGTGGGTGGAGGGGGGCAGGGAGGGATAGATCATCACTGTCATCACTAATACATTCACCCCCTTGTGGAGCACAGCTAAGCACTTTGCGTACATTTTTCCTTTGTCCCTCATGTAAGCCTTCCAAGGACACTCCCAGATGAGTTCTATCATTATTAGCCCATCTCACAGATGAAAAATAATTTTTATAGAGCATAATTGATGGATCGGAAGCGGCAAACAATTCCACAGCATCTGCTCTGCACAGAGCTGGGCTTCCTAGAAAGCAGCCTTTATGCTTTTTATGAAGTTCAGTGGATCTCTCCTTCACGAAGCTTTCTCTGGTGAAGAAACAAGTTCTTTCCTTCGCTTAACTACAATGAGGCGCCTTCTCTGTAGCAGACACGGAGCTATAAAGATTCCTCACTGGTTTGTGCCTTGTGAATGGCAGAGTCTTAGGATAGGAGAGATCCTTCTGGGGATGGGGCACACCTGCCAAGAATTTCCAATTTCCTGATCTTCTGCAGGAGGAAGAAAAGAAGACTGGGAGAGGTTAGCAAGGAGAAAGCGAAAAGTAACAAGGAGATGCGAGTTTAGGAGACAGGACCAACCCAAGTCCAGATGGACAAATACCTTCCGTTTCCCAGCAGCTCTGGGCCTCGGCTCGGATGGCCATTTGTCAACAGCAGGGCTGAGGTTTCTGCCTGTGAAAACAAGATAGGATTTCTGGATTGAGAACAGAAGCCAGCGGATGGCCGACTCCTCCCCCATTGCCCCGCGGAGCCGCCCCTGTAGACGAGAGAAACTGGCGTGCAAGCAGGGCTCCCCGTACCACTGCTGCCTTTAGCATCCCTTCCCCACCGCACCCTGCATCCCCCCACCTGACCGCAAGTGCCCAGCGTGCGGTGCAGGAGCCGGTGGGAAAGAACGGGTGCCGGACCGGGTCAACCAGAATCAGCCAAGCGGTATCAGGGGAGAGAACACGCTAACTCCGGCAGAGGAGCCCGCCCGGGTGGTCGCGGAAAGCAAAGCAAAGCAAAGAGAAAGGCTAGCGAGGCGGAGACCCCACACCACGCACCGTGCCTCCTTGACCGGACACCCCAGATCAGAGTCCTGAGCCCCGCGAACCTAGAGAGGGGAGGTAAGACCTGGGAGGGCGCCAGCAGCCGGTCTGTAGGGGGGCGACATCTGCGCGCCCAGGGCACTCCTGGAGCTCCACGCTACAGTCTGCAACGCACCCCTGCAGTAAACCTCACCCCGGGAAAGATCGCGCCAACTTAGACTTAAAAGGCGTCTTGGAAACTGAGCAGCACGCGCCTATCTCCCCGTTCCTGCTCCTGACTCCTCCGAGTCCCCAGCCTCCTACGCGGCGACAGTGAGACCCTGCACGGAGCTGGAGCAACCTGTTCAGCAGGAGGCAGCTGCCGGACCCCCAACTTCCCGCACGGAGAGCGTCTCCAGATCCCGAGAAGGCACCTTTGCAGTGGGGGTACATCCCCCCCAACTCGCCACTGCCTTCGGGGTGCAGTGCCGACCCAAGAGCATGGAGAACCACACCGAGCACTCTGAGCGCGCGGTCGCGTCGGGCCTGGGCACCATGCCCGGGCCTCCGCTAGCTGTACAAGCGGTGACGTTGACCCTGGTGCCCCTCGTGTGCGCCGTGGGTGTGGCGGGCAACGCTACGGTGGTCCTGGTGGTGCTCCGGAGCCGCCACATGGTCACACCCACCAACTGTTACTTGGTGAACCTGGCCGCCGCGGACCTGCTGGTGCTCCTGGTGGCGGGAGTGCCCACCATAGCCGAGGCGGCGTCCCCCCGGGCTTGGGTCTTCGGCCACGCAGGCTGCCTGGGCATCACCTATCTGCAGTACGTGGGCATCAACGCGTCCACAGGCTCCATCACCGCGTTCACCGTGGAGGGCTACCTCGCCATCTGCCACCCGCTGCGCGCCCAAACTCTGTGCCCGGTGGCGCGGGCCAAGCGCATCGCGGCATCGGTGTGGCTGGGCCCCAGCGCCTACTGCGTGCTCTGGCTCTTCCTGGTGGACACACGCGAGACCGCCTACGCCGACGGCATGCAGGTGCAGTGCGGCTACCGCGTGTCGCGCTCTCTCTACCCGCCCATCTACTTCCTGGGCTTCGCGCTCTTCTATGCGCTGCCCCTGGGCCTGGCCACCCCGTTCTACGTGCTCATAGCGCGCGTCCTCTTTGTGGGGCCGCTGCCTCCTGGCGACCGGGGTCACTCGGGCTCTGCGCACCAGGGCCCCCCGGCTGGCCAGCGGCGCTTCTCCCCCAGGGGCAAGAGAGGCGCCCTCAACTCCTGGAAGCAGGTGGGGACCTCGGTCTTCATTGGGACCGGTGTGCTGAGCCAGCAGATGGACGGATGGAAGCTTGGGCCCTTTTGGAGTCAAACTCCTCAAGTGTCAAGCCCTGTCGTGCCACTTACTAGGCTTGATTTTGGAGCTATCACTTCTGCCTTTCTGAGCCTCAGTTTCCTCTTCTGCTCTGTGGGGTAATGACAGCGCCCACCACATTGGGTGGTGAGAAATGGGATTAACCATGTGAATGAAGCCTTTAGCCCCTGTGAAGCCATGTCACAAACTAAATGTTCAATTAAGATTGGTTATTACTAAACTTTCACAACCAGCGGCCACAGCCCTGGTGGTACTCTCCTAATGATGGGGAAACAGAAACTCAGAGAGGGGAAGTGACTTTCCCAAGTCCTTACCACATCTGACCCTAAAGCTGCCTGCATGGACTCGGAGAGCCAGCCAGCCTAAGAGGGGGATGGGTGGTAGTGAGGTCAGGAGAGACCCAGCACTTATGGAGCACTTACTGTGTGCCTGATTCTTTGATCATTCCTGCTATTACCCCTATTTGGGAGGTTTCACACCTATTTTAATGGATAAAGAAACAGGCTCAGAGGGGACAAGGGAGTGAGAAGGTGACACATGGAGGAAACTGGGGCGAGAACCCAAGTGTCCGGACTCCTTATATCCTCCACCCACACTCCAGCAGTCTGGCCTCCTAAGGGTATTCAAGGAGTGCAGGTGGGAGGAGAGCTCCCAAAGCCCAACTGGTCTTTATCCTCAGCCTTCCACCCACACCCTCAGCTGGCGAGAGAGGGGGGAGGACACCTGGCCCCTGCTGAGTCACTCTTGAGCCAGGCGAGGACCATCTGTGCCATCTCCCTTCCTCCTGGGGTGGGTGCACTGTTGGGGGGCTCTTCCAGCCTCCCCAAACTGCCCCTGCTTGCAGGCATGTTAGCTCCAGGTGGGTTTTAGAGGAAAGGGGGCAGGACCCAAGCTGAGCAGGTGTGGAAAGTTCACTCTGGCTGTAGGCTTAACACCACCTTAGGCTCCAGACCAATGCCCCTCCTAGCCTCCCACCAATTATTTACTTCTCTGTTTACCACTTTCCCACTCAGCCTAAAAGGGCTAGGTTCAAGCTCCCACCTGGCCTATGCTTTAGGTGAGACTTCTGCTGGTGAAAATAGTCTTCCAGACCAGGATCTTTCTAGCCCCCAGCTTTGTTAATGCCTTGCTGTGTAGCCTTGGGTAAGTCACTTCACCTCTCTGAGCCTTGATTTTCAACTCTGAGCCTTGATGTGAAGTCATTATATAATTATAGTGCTCATCTACCTCAGTGGATGGTAGCGGATATTATGAATCTGGCACATAGTAAGAGTTCAATGTAGGGTACCTATTATTACTGTTTTTTTTGGAGCATCGATGTCTTTTTTGACAGTGGGCAGTCTAAAGACTGAACATTCTTTGATGCTCAAGAGAGCTCTTGCAGGACGCCATGTACCAACGGCAAGAGGGGAGAGGTATGGAATGAAAGCAGAACGTCTAAGAGAGCAAGGTGGAGAATACTACTGCTAATAATAGTCAACAATTATTGGGATTTGCTATGTGCCAGGCACTAGTCTAAATGCTTTACACAAGTTAGCATATTGAGTTTTTGTAACAACTCCATGATGTATGTACGGTTACCATCTCAGTTTGACAAATGAGGAAACTGAGTCACAGAGGAGCTGCCCCAGGTGACAGAACCGGTAAGTGTCAGAACCAAGGTTTGAACCCAGGCAAACTGGCTCCAGTGCCCACACACTGGTATCCAGTATTTATCCCCCAAACGAACCTAAAATGGAATGGAATTAAATCTGAATTTGGTAAAATCAGGAGTCAAGACTGACTTGGGAATTCCTGGGATTTCTGGTTCCCTGGAGAATATTACAGCACTGAAGCTTATTGATTTAGTCAGGGCGAGCCTCTTTGGAGAGGTCACTTATAGCAACTAAACTCCTGGACTCTGAGAAGCAATCTTATGCAGGAACATTCCAGGCTAGCTTCCTCCTTGATGAGAAAGTTGTCTCTCCAGTGTTCCTCAGAGCTGATTCTATGTATCCAGGGGTTTCTGGGCAGAACCAGTGCAGTGCCAAGACAACTGAAGCAATTTAAGCTCTAGTAAGTGCACTTTGCCCCCCCCCCAAATATGGTCTCTGAAGGAGTCACTGAGGACTCCGGGGGTGTGGGTGGGCCTGGGTGTGCTGCTGTCCTCCCCCAGGATACTAGGGATGTCCCTGTCTCCCACTGCCTGATGCCCCCTGGTGGCCTTTTCATTCTGGAATTTAAAAAACGAGGGATCTTTAGAAACACCTTCCAGAGTGAGTGTACCACCTCTAGGAGGCTCTACTTCATCTCCACCGTTAGGGAAGTGCAGGCCAAGGATGAAAGGGGCTGGGGGCTGGAAGGTGAGGGAGGTGAGGCATGACTTGCCATCAAGGGCAAAGGCAGGAAGGAGAGCTGGAGGGAGAGTGGGGAGTGGGGTGCAGTGAAAGCACCACAAGGGAGCGAGCTCGTGGCCGGGGATGTTGGGGAGAAGGGGTTGAGCTGGACAGAGAGGTATATCCAAGCTAAACAGCTGGTTAGCGGTGGAACCAGGATGGTAACCCCGCTGCGCCTGCTCTGAACTCCGTGCACTTGTAATAGTAGTAGTAGATGTGTTCGCCACAGCAATCCCCCTGCAGGGCATTTAGGGCCTGCCTGGCACTGTTCTGCGTTCTTTACCTGCATTCAGTCCTTTAATCCTCAAGATCCGCCATGATGAAGGCAGTGGATTCGTGAATTTGCTGCCAGTAAAAATGGTGGCTCGTCCAAGGGCTTTAGAGGTGAGTTGGGGGGTGGTGTGTGTCAGTGGGAGGGAGTCCCCCAGTGAAAATGACTTGAGCAGGGCCTGGAAGGATGCACAGCAGTGTTCTAGCTGGGGATGGGGCTGAAGGGGGGCATGTGTGAGGGCACCGTTTGGCAAAGGCCTGGATGCTCTTTTGGCTTCTTCCTCTTGCATCCCGCAGAGAGGCCAGGAACTGGGGATTCTCCCTCGGCACCCATGCGTCTCTTTTTTCCTGTCTTACCTGGGAGGTCACCAAGATGCTGACGGGGGTGGTGCTGGTTTTTGCTCTGCTGTGGTTGCCCTACCACCCCCTGGTGGTGGTAAATTCCTTCCTGAGCCCGCCCTACCTCAACCGTGGCTTCTTTCTCTTCTGCCGCCTTTGCGTCTACCTGAACAGCGCAGTCAACCCCATCATCTATGCCCTTACCTCTCAGCGCTTCCGGGAGGCCTTCCATGGACTATCTCAGTGCCTGGCGGGCCCGGCCCAGCTCCCGCCCCAGGAGGCCACCCCTGTGGACTACAGTGTCATCAAAGACTGTTCCCAGATCAGACTGGGCTCTTAGAAGCAACCAGGGAGCGTGATGTGCAGACAGGGAGGGGATCCTGACACCTGAGGGCAAGGCCCACTACTTTATCTCCACTGAGGAGGGAGGGGTGGAGGAGGGAATGGTGTCCAGGGCTGTTTAGTAGCGGTGTGCAGGTTGTACACTGCACAACCCTAGGGGGTCGCCATTCACATCACAGCCTAGATTTGTATATTTAGTAAAACAATTTTCCAGTTTAATAAATATACAAATCTAAGAGGGAGGCACCTTTTTATAATTTACACAAAAATACTCTGTGGCCTAATGGCAGCCTGGGTGGATGAACATTTGCAGAAATTGAGTAGGGTAGGAGTTATCACTAGGGGTCTCTTGGGAATCTGTGTGCACTCTTCCTAAAAATTCAGGGAGCCTTTTTTTTTTTTCCGCCAGCATAAACACCAAATGCTGCCTCCCTCCTGCCGCTGATGGTGACACATGACTTTGTTGAGACCCTGCTACATGCGGGGCATTTCACATACTACAGAGATGATGCCAACAGGGCCCCTGCTCTCTGGAGCTCCCAGTCTAACAGGGGAGGGAGTGAGGACATGGCCAGCCTGGCACTGGAATCCTGACTGATGCACCCGGGGAGGCAGCCAGGTGGGTGCTGGACGCACCTGCCTTGTCTAACTGGGTATGAGTCCTCTGGGCCTGTGGCCTGGGTCCAGGTTTCTAGGACCACCCAACCTCATAGTGCAGGGAGGGAGGACTGTAAAAAGACGACTGGAACCAGCCTTACCTATAGGCAGTGTCTCCATGTTTTCATTGAAGGGAATCTGGGACATTCCCTCCCCCCAAAAATCTTATATTTTTTCTCTACATGTGCCACCAACCCACGGTTGGTGTTTATTTGAAGTTGTTAAGTGTTGTCTTTCCCAGATATGCACATTTCCTTGGGAGAAGAAGTTAACCCGAAACTTCAGTGTGGATGGGAAGTTCTTTTTTTTCAATTTTTATTGTTATGTTAATCACCATACATTACATCATTAGTTTTTGATGTAGTGTTCCATGATTCATTGTTTGTGCATAACACCCAGTGCTCCA